CCCATGGAAACCCTTGAACTAACTCCACCGAAAAGCTGGTCATCTCAGGATTTTGATAAAAATGGATGCCTCGGGGCGTTGACGAGCTGCAAGGATATGATGATCCCCTCGACACTCTCTTCTGACCTCTTGAGAGCAGGTGAGGAAGAAGATGGAGGAAGAGGTTCCAGGAGGAGGAGGGGGCATATGCAGGAGTAGGAGTGATAATAATGGGGGGAAGGAGGAAGGATGAGGAGAAGGATGATGAGGAGCAGGAGGAATAGTATGTTAGACACCCGCAGCGAGTCACCACCACCCCCTGCCATTGAGAAGAACATATGTGGCCAGTTGTTGCGGAAACGCATCGCGCTTGTGGCCGAGAATCGATGTAACACTAGCTCGACTGTGGTTGAATTCGAAGGGCCCTGTTGGGCTGTCTCGGGGCTGCCTTGCACTCTTGGGCCTTCTTGGGGGCCCCCGGGGCTCCTTTGCGTCGCCTTGGGGATCTTGGGATGTTTGGGGGCCCCTTCGGGCCGTCTGGGGATCCTCGAGGCAATCTTTTTTGGAGTTTCTTCAGGCTGTATTGGAGTCTCCTTGGTGGCCTGTTGGGCAATTCTGAGGCCGTCTTGAAGCCCGTCTTCGGCTATCGTGTAGCCAGCCATGGACTATCATGGGACCGTGTTGGGTGGCTTGGGACAACATTAGGTGCCTCTTGGGCCGTCTCGGACGCTCTGAACACCGAAATGCGACAATACCATAACTATTCAACACACAGTTGAAACGCCAATACGTGGACTCCCTGGTACCATCACGGGCTCCCCCACAGGACGCCGCTCATTCCATCCTTCGCCTCTCCCGCTGCATTCTTCCCCCTCCGCCTCCCACTGCCTCTGGCCTCCTGATTCCCTCGCTAGTATAGGCCTTCTTGGAGAGAGCTTCGAGGCCTCTGGGGCCGTCGTGAACGATTGAAGCGATATTGGATAACTCGCGCGCCGTCCTGGACTCCCTTCAGCCTAAAAGGGCTGCGAGAGCAAATATCGCTGAAAAAAAACATGTTCGTGAGTTTTGCCTGTCGAGTGCCCTTGAAGCGTCCTCCTGGGGCATTCACTGGGCCTCTGGCGAGCCTGTTCGACGTTCTTGGAGACATCTTGGGCCATCCTCTTTGTATCTTCGCCATCTTCTCAGAGGCATCGCGAGTTCCTTGGGGCCTTTTCGAAGGCACCATGGGCTTCCCATAGGGTACCGTGCGGCTCTCGAGCCAAACCATCAGGTCTGGGTGATTCTTGCGAACAGCGCAAAACGGTCATGCGTCGAGCTCCGAAGACCCGAAGGCATCTCCGACGCCAACGTTTGCCACTGGCGGTTTCTGCCAAGCGTGAGGAGGAGGAGGAGGAGGAGGAGGAGGAGGAGGAGGAGGAGCGCACCAAGAAGGGGAAAACGCCGGGAGGGCACAGAACACATCGTCGGAGGTCTGGAGGAGGAGGAGGAGGAGGATGAGGAGGAGGAGGAGAATGGAGGAGGAGGAGATGGAGGAGGAGGAGATGGAGGAGGAGGAGGAGGAGGAGGAGGAGGAGGAGATGGAGGAGGAGGAGATGGAGGAGGAGGAGGAGGAGGAGGACGACGACGACGAGTGAAGACTGCTACCACCACTCACTCCTCCAGGGGCTTGCCTTCGGAGCTGACCGGAAGCCACCCCAGGCACGGCCTGCAGTCGAGACTTTGGGCCTGCGGCGGGACGAGGGCAGAGGAGGACGAGGAGGAGGAAGAAGAGGAGGAGGAAAAGGAGGAGGAGGAGGAGGAGGAGGACCCGGACGTCCTGTAAAGCGGGGGCCGAGTACTGTTTCATCATCCTTCTGCGTCGCATCGAGCATAGCGCATGCAAAACAAAAAACCCGGACGTCCTCCGAACTGACTTGTTCGATCCGCGGCCCCAGAAGCCCCGACCGCTTGCCCGGAGGTAGTTCTTCGTCCCGGACCGCTTTGGATGGCCACGGTGCCCAAGAGCGGTCCCCAGAGGGCCAAATGAAAGGGAAAAAAGGCCAGGATTGGAAAACAAAACTGGTCGGAAGCTTGGGAAGGAGGAGAAGGATGAGGACCAGTGCAAACCCGAAACGCATCAACGATGTTGCAATCAACCCTCCCTCCATGCTCCTTCTTCGCAGGTTCCTACAAAAATATGTTTTACTGCGGAGGCTGCCCAATTGGAGAACCACCGTCTGAGGATCCTCAACCGTACCAAAACACGAATCCTGGGACTTCAGCGCCGCGAATCGCGACGTGACTGGTGGTGCGTCCTGACAACCCAATCGCGCCAGAACACCATTCGCCGGACTTCAATACCGCGAATCAACGTGACTGCTGCGTCTGGACAATCCTAAACCGTTCCAGAAGGCCATTCCTGGGACATTCGAGCCTTGAAACTGCTACGAACGTATAAGACGAATGTTCGCGGCACTTAGCGGGAGCCACAATTTGAAAACAGCCCGCCCTCTATCCGTGGAATTGTCACAACATGTTCAGACAGTCTGCGTGGTGCGACAGCGAGGGCTGTAGTTTCAAACGGCCCGCCCTCTGATCCTTGAAACTGCAGCAGACTATTAAGACGAACGCGCGCGGCGCTCAAGCGAAAGCCACAGCTTGAAAACAGCGCGCCGAATCATCCTTGAAACTGTTGCGAACGTTTAAAACAGATGCGATCGGCGCTAAAGCGAGAGCCACAATTTGAAAACGGCCCGCCCTCCA